AAAACACTAGCTAATCTCACGGGATTTTCTCTCCAAAAATCACAACAATTAATCAAGCTAATTTACACTTAAACCAAGCTTAAAACATGGTCAAAGGCTACCGGGATTTCCCCCATTTTTCTACCAAAATTCGGACATCACACGGTAGCAAACTAATCAAGCTAATTCTACCTTAATCAAGCTTAAAAACAATGGTTTAAGGCTGCCACATACCAGAATTTTCCAGCTAAAACTGGAGCTGCAGGGGGAAGAGAAGCCGGCGGCAATTTGGAGAAGAAGCTCACGGGTTCTACCCAAAAATTGGAGGAAATAAGAGCAATTAACATAAACCCAAGGCAATCAAAGCTAGAGAAGGGAGATTCATGGCTATTTCTTACCCAAAATCGGAGCAAATCACCCCCACAAACAAGAGCAGCCGGCGGACAGCAGAGGGAAGAGCAGAGCAGATCTGGAAGCTTCCTGCAGGGGGAGAATTTCTGGGCTCCAAAGCTGGTTCTAGAACAAGAAAGGAAGGAGAAATTCCAAGCTTTCTCACCAATTTTTCAAAGCTGGTGCCGGTGGCTTGGAGGGGGGAATTTTCGGGCTGCAGCAGGAAGAAGAGCAGAATCGGGTGAGGAAGAAAGAGGAAAAGGAGAAAAAGAAATAAGCCATCCTTATCCAAAATCTTTCCCTCTTTAAGTCCCTCAACTTTCAGAATATTCACATTATGCCCCAAAACAATCTTTTCGCACAATCAAGTCCTTAACTTACACTTAAATATTCCCGAAAATTTGGGATATTACACTGGCAAAGACATATTGACCCTTCAAATTATAAATCAATATAAATCACTCATTTTTCAACGTTTTTCGTTAAAAAATATTGACATGACAAACAAAATTCTGACGTTTTTCGTTAAAAAAATGGTGATTTATATTGATTTATAATTTAGAGGGACAATTTGCGCTTGCTTTTTTTTTAAGGGTGAATGTGTCCTTACCAATATTTTTTTAAGGTGGCTTTGAGGATTTTACCATATATATTTATCAATAAATTTAATCTTTAAAGTTGGCACTTACAGCATCAGTCATGATGAAATTGCACCAATGACCTTGACCTCTTTATCGAGTGTTCAAAATGCAACTGCAGCATTATTATAACTATTCCTCTAATTCCCCACCGTTAAGAAAAAAAAAAAACTGTGTATTGGTTTCCTAAAAAATTAATTCAGAGTAAATAATTAGAGAATAGTATTAGAACAAAGAAAATAAAAATGCAGATTTAACAATTCCTTTTTCTTATTTTCGAGGAAGTTTAGAGAAGCTATTCATTTCGAATTGAATACTAAAGCATGTTTGAAAATTATTAATTGTTATTATTAATAATCTAAATATTTTTATTTTTAATTTTATTTGTAAGTTTAAACAAAATTGTTAATCGCTAATTTATTAAGTTAGGTTCAAGTGGGTTTAAGTGATTAAGGAATCATTTAAGTTATATTAAAAAAATGCTTCAAATTCCTTCATTATTATTTAAGTATAAACAATTTTAATAAATTATGCTCACCACTCTTAAAAATAGTCTTACCCAATATTTTGTAAATGATATAATTTATAAGTATTCTTACTATTAGTTGAGCAAAAGATCTATATATTTATGTTATTTAAAAAAATTTCTAATCGCTTCAGTTGATAGTGAGATTTTTGTTTTCTTTTTTTTTTGAAAATAGGTAATGGAGTTGATGTCGAGATTGAAAAGCGTAAAAATGTTATTGAGAATGAGGTTATGGTGGACGAGGCGCCGGACAAGGGAGGCAAGAATATTGTAGGAGAGTTTCTGAATGGAGCAGTGAGTAAAAGTGCAAATAAAGATTTCAACTTTGTATTTTTTTTTATTTAAATATGTTAACTTTGTCAGTTTTTAAATAATGATGTTAACTTTCAATTTTTTTCTAAATAAAGATATTAATTTTTAATTTTTTTCTAAATAAAGATATTAACTTTATCAATTTTTAAATAAGGATGTCAACTTTCAATATTTTATATTTAAGGATGTCAACTTTCAACTTTTTCTATTTAAGGATTAATTGAATAGTGATGATGACGTGGCTAACATATTTTTTAAGTTAAATACCTGAATTGGTCCCTCAAATTTTATTTTTGAACCAATTCATCCTTGAACTTCAGAAAGTACCAAAAACATCCTTCAACTTCAATTTTCAATTTCGTCTTTCCGTAAGTTAAATGTTGATGTAGCTAATATTTTCGCTAAGTGATTGACTATTTTACTTTTTCAATATTAGGTGGAAAATTCATCATGTAAAAGATGATTGTGGGGATTTTTTTAATTTTAAATAATTTACAAACTACTTTAATTTTTAATTTTACTTTAT